AAAAAAAAAAAAAAAAAACCCTGAACAAAACCAAAAGATCCCTGGGCTAGCTCCCTTCTATGTTCATGAACCTGGCACTGGGACACAGCTGAGATCTGAAGGGCAGCAGAGATTTGAAACAAGCCCAGGACAGGAGCTGTGTTGTTTTAGTTAATTATTGTTATTTTTTAAATTTAATTTTGGTATAATGCTTTGGTTTTCCACGAATTAAAAAAAGGTAACTTTTTCTTCCCAAGCTTCTGATGAAACTGCTGGAGCTTGGAAAGAAGTATGGATAACATGCTTTCATCAACTTAAAATTCATTGTATGATGGAGAGGAAAGCCACAGCAGAAATTTCCTGCCACTTCCAGGCAATGGGAGAATTAAGTTCCTYCTGCCATTGGTTGTAAGAACCAAGTGTGGGACTTGATAAATTTTGGTGTTTCCAGGGTGTGAATCTCCTGGTGTTGTCTCTTGACCTCTTTGGTTTCAGCAGCTGTCAGTTTTTTGGGGTTATTGCTTTGGTATCCCCATCCTTCAGGATTTCTGTGTGGATGAAGCATTTCCAGCAGCATCCATGCCTGGAGAAGGATTCTGCCCTGAGCCCACAGATAGCGTGGGCACTCCCAGTGTGCAGAAATCCTGGCTGTGGTCTGTTATGGAGCAATTGCAGGCAGGGCTTGATGTTTTTGAGGGTCAAAGCAAGTAGTGGAGAGCCTCACAGCCTCTTGTGCCAGTTGGTGTGTTGGGAATTGTCTGGGATGGTGCTTTTATGGATGCATTGACAAAGTCAGGGGAGCCCCTCAGGAAAATCTAGGAAAGTGTAAAGAATATGGAAAAGGTTTTCCAGTGGGAGYAAGATGTTGTGTAATATGGTTGTGCTGGGGCATCACTGGTGATGAACCATCTGCACCAAAATGACAAAAAAGTGTTCCTGCAGGGACTTTGGGGTATTGCCTTGATTCCTCCCCTCTCTGAGGAGCTCATGTGGGTGGCTGCTCTCTGCAGACCTGGCTATGAGCGATCAATACAACTAATTCCTTGAATTCCTGAGGGCAAACTTGCTTTATTTTCGGTTATTTCTATACTCTTATTTTTTCACAATAAGCTTGCACAACGCGCCGGGGGGAGCCTGCCRGAGCCTCGAGGCAGGCTGTAATGGAAACCATGGAAAATCCTAATAACCCAGTGATAGCAGCAAATGGAGGCATCCTTAATAACGAAATAATAGCGCGGATGTTTATAGCATYAAACATTATCATTGTTTGCTGGGATATGGGAACGCTCCCAGTTCGCTGGGAGTTTTCCAGGCCTTTAGAAAGGGGGCTGTGTGTGCTCCAAGGAGCTCGTAAAAACGATGCTTTTAACTCAAAACAGGGATCCCAAAGGGTTTGCAGCCGTCCCTGGGCTGTCGCACACGMGGATGTGTTGAGGAGGATGTGGCTGTGAGTTTTCCTGGGATCTGGGTTTTTGTGTGAGTTCGCAGCGGGTGGGGATGGGAGCTGGATGGTGGGTGTCTGCCATGACCCCAGGTTGCGCAGGGTGAGCCCAGCAGGGTGTTTTTGAGCATAATACTTCTGTTTGCTTCACTCGCACAGATCCGTGATTATTGCTACCAAAAAAAGCCTTTTGGGTAAAAAAAAAAAAAAAAAAAAAGTAGTCTGTCGCTGTAGGAAGCATCTCTTGAGTCACTTTTTCCTTCTCTCCTGCCACCTCCCCTCCTGCCTGAGTGATGCCACTGGCTTTTCCCACCCCTTTTCCTGGCAGATGCCAGTGCCAGGGAGGCTGATGGGAGCGAGGGGGCTCCKCTGGGGTCCCAAAAACTGCAAAAAGCAGCTTTGGTAGCAGCTGGCAGGGAGGCCTGAGCCTGTTTATCCGAGCTCAGCCCTTGTATTCTCATGGCTTTGTGACCAGACATGCAGTCAACAGCCGAAGCCCGCAAACGGAAGAGGCTCTGGCATATTTATACTGTGTGCTGGCATCAGCTCCTCAAAAAAAAACCAAACATCCCGGATTACCTAAGATACGTCCTTGAGGTCTGGTCACCCCATGTCATTCAAAAACCTAGTGGGATTCATTCATGAACTTCCAGCCCTCCATAAAGGTCTGTTCATTCATCGCCAAGGCAGTTCTCTGTTTTTTCTTTTTTTTTT